ATTACGGATCGGTGTTTTTTACAAGCAAGGAATTAAATTTTAAAATGGACCTATTTGAGAATCCGAAGTTGTCGACTAAGCTTATAAATCATTTTGATTATAGTTCATTTGTAAATGTTGAACCTACTTCAACAGCGATTAACGTTAAGAAAGCTTACTTAAGAAAACTTGATAAAAATGTCGCTCTTAAGTATTTAAGAGATGATAAGTATAAGAATGTCGATGAGTATTATGAGAATTTTGCCAGAGAGGTATGATATCGAATAATGTGAAGTAAAATATGTTAATGTATCTATTTAATAATTACTTTACTCAATTAGGTACAAAGCTTGAACAAATTAAAACTTGTTAATAGCGAGTATATAGTCAAGTTTATGGGTATTGGCAAAGGTATATTTTATTATTTGTAATATATACTAATCATCAACATATTTTCACTGTTTGTTTTTATAAAAAAATTTGCTGTTTTTTATTATTAGATCCTTCTATAGAATTATATTTCATGATATTTCAATATGCTCGCGACGAAGATCTTTTTACATACTTACAACTAAATTTCAAAGAACTAAGCTGGTCTACTAAAATAAGGATGGCAAAAGACATCGCGAATGGCATGTGTTATATTCATAATACAAACATTATACATGGAAATTTAGTAAGTATATTCAAATAATATGACAATTAAGTTTGATAATTAACATTATTTGTATGTTACTAGAATTCAAGGAATATACTTTTTTACAATGGAAAATTATTAATTAGCGGGTTTGGTTTTTCTGAAATCCTCGACGAACCTAGCGAATTTACTATAAAATATCCCGAAAATTTTAATAACGAATCAATAGTTTATGTTGATCCAAGGTTTCTTGAGTCACCATTTAATTATAAAAAAGATAGACCTTTTGATATTTATAGTCTTGGTGTATTGTTTTGGGAGATATCCAGCGGCATTTCCCCATTTGAAAGGTTTAGATATGACGAATCAACTTTAAAATCAAAACTTATTTCTGGAATTCGGGAGAGCCCTATTAGCGGAACTCCTGTAGATTATAAAGAGCTTTACTGTAAAGCGTGGCATGGAACACATGGAAAAAGACCATCAATCGATAATATTTGTTTCTATCTTGAAAACATAGAATTTGATCAGGTATATCAAATCTCAAATTATACCTCGAAAGTCTACCAGCGTCAGGATTACGGTTCTATACTGCAAAAAGCCGCCTGTTTAACGGTTATTAAAGGATCACCTATGAATTGTCATTTTTTTCTTGATGAATATGAAACATTCTTAGGAAGGGATTCTAGGAATCATATTATTATAAAAGATCAGGAGGTTTCTAAACGAAATGGGAGAATTACAAATGATCAAGGAAAATTTTCGATCACTAATTTAGATTCACTGTCTGAAATTTACATCAATAACAATAAACTTCAGTTTAATGAGACCAATATTTTAAAGAAAGGAGATTTAATCAAAATGGGGGGTTGCGAATTCCAATATCTTGCTTCTGGCGAATTTGAGAACTGCCTTGACTCTAAATTGAAGATATATAACGCCAATTATTTGAAAGAAATATTAGAGGAAGAATATAAAAGTATCGATAAAGATGGACATAAATTAAGCTTATTATTTCTTGACATAGATAATTTTAAAAGAATCAATGATGACGTTGGACATGAAGCAGGAGATTATATTTTAAAGGAACTGACATTTTTAATTAGAACCCAATATGTTCGTCCTGAAGATATTTTTGCACGATTTGGTGGAGATGAATTTAATATTCTTCTTAGAAATGCTAATGCTGAATCAGCCTATAAGATTGCAGAAGAAATTCGGGCTTCAATTGAGGAACATAAATTTATCTATGAGGGAATAGAACTGAAGGTTACGCTTAGTATCGGGGTTTTAGAGGTAAACCACTCAGTAAATTCTCTTAATGTGTTACATAGAATGGCCGATGAAGCTCTATACGAGGCTAAAATAAAAGGTCGAAATCAAGTGGTTGTGCAGAAAAAAGAAATAGGCCCAACAGGTATTGCATATAAATATAATTTGAACTTCCTCCGTTTTTTAAATAATAGTTCTAATAAATTTTTACACATTATTTAATGAATGTATCATAATATTATTAATGAAGAATCTCAGATATATTTATATATTAAGGATTTGAGTTTAGATTCGAATTTACGTAACTTGAAGATCATAATAGAAAATCCGAAAACCAAAATTTCTTCGGAGACATTGATCATGGCTTTGGAGAAACTATCAGAGACTTCATCTTTTGATAAATTTTATGACGAGAATACAAGTTTTCGGTTGGAGCTACATCTTAGGACTTACGCTGTGGTTTTGGACAGAATATATTACGCCAAAATTGGTCTCAGAAAAAATTTTTGGGATGAATTGTATAACGGCTTGGTTGAATTCATGGAAATACATTACGATAAATCAACGTCCATAATGAAAGAATTAGGATACAATTATAACATTAATTTTCTTCTTATTTATATAAGAGATACTTTATCCAATATGAGGAATGAAAAATGTCCTTCTTCGAGATTCTTTAGATTTGCCCAACAGTTCCTTGGATAAATTAAGTCTAGAAGTGTTGGCTCTATTTTAAATGTCGAAGAGCAACCTACTTTCTCATATCCTATTTCAAATTGGTATATTAATTGGCGTAAGTTATTGACAATCAATAATACAATATTAACATTGAAAGAAGATGAGGACTATCAGATATTATGTGAAAACGGAGAGATAATGCTTTTGGAAATTACTTGGCAACACGTGTTTGATGAACTTCTCGAGCCATCTCAAAATAATTGCAAAATTCTGAATAACAAACTAGAGTTTGCTAATATAATTAACGGTGACGATCCTATTTCTTTGCCAAATTTACTACTATTTGCAGTACTTGATTTAACGCAAGATATCAGCAATAAGACCACAAAAGATATTATTTTGGCATTATGTTATTATATTGGTCTGGAATCCTTGCAAAATTCTAATGACAACTTTATAAGATATAAGGCTTTAGAGTTGCTATTAGGGTTATCATATAAAAAGCCAGAACCGTTTGATGATAATCAAAGCAGAAATAGATTGCTATAAAAGCCAATCGAATATTCAAGATAGTCACTTCGACGTGATTATAAAAAAAGTTAAACATAAAGTCAGTGTGGACGGTAGTTTTAATAAGACTTTATCAGAACCGGCTATATCAAAAAAAGGGAAGGAAAAAATGATACCTGTTCAAAATACATCGAAAGGAGGTTCTGAATTATTGGATATTATAGCCGAAAAATTAACTTGTCCGATAATGAAAGAAATCACAGAGGAGTTTTATGTTTTGGGATGTGGTCATTCTATTAGTAAATTTGCAGTTAACGAATGGAAATCAATGTTGCAAATAGAAGACAGGGAATTTGAGTTCCCGATATGTCGAGCTTTAATAAAACACGAGTCAATATTTAGCTTGCCTCAGAATGCTACTCTTAAAGGTCTTTATAAACGACTGAAGGAAGCTGGGTATTTAGGCATTTCGTGTGAATTCAATCATGTACCATCGAATTCCAAGTGCGAATTTAAAGAAGAGACTTTTCTAAAATTAAATAAGTTACATTCTTTTGGAATGCCAGGATTGAATACGCCTACAAAAAGTTTATTTAGTAAAATATTCCCTGAAACTTTAGATTTCGCATATCGCAAAGCAGTTGAAGCGGAAAAACAAGAAAATAATTTTGAAGCAATAATATGGTATACTCGTGCATTGGAAATCATCAAAGTAGTTATTCTATTAGATGTAAAAGGGCAAATAACTCTGAAAGGCTTAAATTACATTCAAAGGCACTTGAAGATTATTCGAACGCAATAAAATTAAGACCTGGAGAGTCGTTAGCTTACATAAAGCGGAGCCAAATTTATCATCATTTTGGGAAATATCAAGAAGCGCTGGAAGATATTAAAAACGCATTAAATATTGAACCTCGAAATATGATGGCTTTGTTAATCTGCGGAAGAATTTACTTTTCACTTGAAAAATATGAAGATTCGTTAAATTATTATATACAAGCGGAACAAATAGAAAAGTACAAAGAAGACATCTTATTAGGTTTGGCAAAAGTCTATTATGAATTAAATTTCTTAGAATTGTCAACTCATTATTGGGAAACATTAATATCAATAGATCCAACAAAATTAAAATTATTGTCCGATTATAAAAAAATAAGTAATTTAAATATTGGTAGATATAAATTAGGGGGATTAAAAGGAAACGCTCTGGCTGAGGTTCTATGCAAGAATGCCACCCTAACAATATTAGATATAAGTAGTAATAAAATAGGAGATTTGGCAGGAAAAGCAATGGCTGAGGCTTTGTGCAAAAATACCACATTGACTGAGCTAAACATAAGTCGGAATAGTATCGGAGAAACGGCAGGAAAAGCAATGGCTGAGGCTCTATGCAAGAATACCACCCTGACAAAATTAAATTTAAGACATAATGAAATAGGAGAATCTGCAGGAAAAGCTCTGGCTGAAGCTTTATGCGAGAATACAACCCTGACCGAGTTAAATGTGAGTTGGAATTGTATGGGAGAATCAGCAGGAAAAGCAATGGCCGAGGCTCTATGTAAGAACACCACCCTGACTGAGCTAAACATTAGTCGGAATAATATAGGAGAATTGGCAGGAATAGCACTGGCTGAGGCTCTATGCAAGAATAACACCCTGACTAATTTGTATTTGTACTATAACGGTTTGGGAGAATTGGCAGGAAAAGCACTGGCTAATGCTCTATGCAGGAATACCACCCTGATTAACTTGAACGTGTATTATAATAAAATAGGGAAATTGGCAGGGATGGCACTGGCTGAAGCTCTATACAAGAATAGTACCCTAATTATATTAAATATAGGTAATAATAATATAGGTGAATCGGCAGGAAATGCACTGGCTGTTGCTCTGTGCAAAAATACCACCCTAAAGGTATTACATATAGGTAGCAATAATATAGGTGAATCGGCAGGAAAATCACTGGCTGAGGCTCTACGCAAAAATACCACATTGAATTTGAATTTGAGTAATAACAAAATAGGGGAATCGACAGCAATAGTACTGAATGATGATATAAGAACTCGACGAAATTATATTAAATTATATATTGATAAATCATTTAAAAGATAACATAAAATCAAATTGTTGTTTTAATTTCCTTTTCCACCATATCTCTTATTTAATCACTTATTAACTTAACTGTAATTTAAATAAAATATTTATTCTATTTGTTTAAAAATTAATATTGAGATTAAACGCTGTATTTGCACCTAACCTTATTCAACAACTTATTAGTGCGAGAAAATCTACCAAATAATAAACGGACTTAAATTGCTTTAGATAAAGAAACTG